ATATGCGTTTCATTCTATCTAGGACTTGTCAGTTGGATGTATTCACATCTCAATATAGGTGTTCACATATAGACTCGAACCTTAGTGTGCTTTACGTCCCAAATACCTAATATGTTGTTCGCTCGGCTATAGTAATTATAGTAACATAACTAACTATAGTAACTAAATTGTTCAAGATGTAAAATTTTTATATTATTAATCTAGAAAGGGTATATACAGATCAGTAAAAGCTCTAATATAGTCCTCTAATATAAAAAAACGAGATAAGTGAAACTTCTTTGAATAATGACTTAAGAATAAGTTAAAGAAGATAAATAGATGAAGATTTATTATACATCAAGCATAAAACAAATTTTTGTTTAAATACTCTACTTACAAAATATAAATTTACATTGATATAATAGTTAACTTTTGAATACATTCAACTATACAATCCTTTGCCATTATATGAACTTAATTTACAAATATCGTATGATCTAAATTCTATAATTCATATGTATAGAATAAATGACTAATTGACTCATATATTCAATTCTATTCAAAAATCATATAATTAATTGATTATGTAATGACTGTCTATTATCGACACACAATAGATAGAAGAACGATTGATACTCATATTTGATTGATTATTGTGTGGTGATCAATGTCATGTGTGTCAAGTCCTTCTTGGCGCAGATCGAATGCTATCGATCAAGTTGCAATGTGGTCACTAGTCTAAGTGACTCGACATTGCCCAGTGGTAATGTCTCTGACTGTGAAGCTTGGATGAAACGGGATCGAATCCGTCAGGGAGCACCAGTTCCCTCAAGATTACAGGTATACTTTGCTGACGAATGTCAAGTGGCACGAAACGCGGGTGCAGGGTTTCTTGTTGACTACCTCCAACCACCATCTTATCTCAACGATTAATACTAATTGACTACTTTTATTTATTTATGTAATTGAAAAGCGATATCAAGAAGACAGTTGATTGATATTTAGGTCCTAAAATCTACTTGCATACTTAACCAACTGAGGTAAGAATATGAAATTTGAGATGAAGATCTTTTCATCAATAAAGTACTGAATAAAAGAAAAGTTCTACATGAATGTGTAATGACTACTGAACTTAATGACAACAGTGATGAAAAACTTGATAAAAATATTCATAAAACAACACTGATTATTTTAAGTATAGATCTAAAAGGGAGCAATAAATGTGACCGGTTGGTTGAGAGATATATATATTAAAATGACGTTTCAAATGTAGACTATTGGCTCCCAACTGGACGATCTAGTGGTTAAGCAGTCGCCATGGAACCTAAGTTCGAAACCCCGTAGGGTGGTGGATGAAAACTGGTAAGGATTTCTACACAAGGACGAAACAAATGTCCGGTACCTACTGTTTTCTAATGGTTGTGTAACTAATGCCAGTTTGTGATATAATCCATGAATCATTTTGATTAAAATTCAAAGATATCAAGCAATTGCGAATAGTTATACCATTATGCAGTTTACAGGCTCAATACTCTACTCAATGGGTTATAAAACAAGGTTTTGGATCTGATTGCTATCGATCAGGTTACTAATGATAGTGAAAGTTCTTTCATAAGTTAAAGATACCACTAAAATTCAGGTTTTGTAGAACGTCAACTGTCAGTCCGGTATTATAAATCGATATTCCAAACAACTTGGAATAAAACAACAATCACACACAGACCAAGTTTTTTGGAAAGTTATTATTATCAGATTTCCGATTATAAGAATACTGAAGAATACATTTTTAATTTAACAATAAACTGTGCACTGAAATCATATTTGGGGAAAAAAGCTTCATATAATACAATTCCAATAAAATGAACTACATCTGTTAGGCATTTCTGATTATTCATGATTGTTAATGAGGTGTGGCAACTTGAACCGATGCATAAATGTGCATGGTCCTACGTTGTAGCCGACAGACTGAGGATTTACAATTGTAGCGAGCTCTATTAAAGAGTCGTTTTAGTCAAGTAGGAGTATTTGTGTGTTTATAATAATAATAACAGAAAAAAGAATTGTTTTCAACAGTGTTCTCAATAATATAGTAACGTTTTTAAGCAGATCTAAACAATGAATTACATATTTTGTAACTGGATTTTGATACAGTTAATTCTTGAACTTATGCAGTAGAAATAGGTCATATATTTCATAAATTATGTTACTTATTTATTTACCTGGTTTACCAAGTACAGAATTATGTACTTGGCTTCAAACTATTCTCTGGTGTATGCTACTTATATTGACAGATATAAGTAGTATGTAACACCAATCAGAAGTGAAATGTCTGGCAGGAGAAAATTTAGAAGACCGATTTGAAGAGAACAGAAATATAAATAGTGAGTAATTTTTATAATAACAGGAAGAAAGAAACGATGAATTTCGTAAGAGACAATTGATGAAAGATGTATAACATTTTGTAATTTTGTGTAAAACAATAAGTTGGTCTTCTCTACTTGACTTCTTCGTTTTTTACAATACTATCTGATTGCCAGTACAGAAATAGATGAGGACAGATTCGAACCTGAGACGAAGTGGTTGAAATTCGAAAGTCTTAAACATTGAGTTTCAAGACAGAAATGTAATTCAGTAAATATTTGTAAATGTTTTCATTGGTTGCAACAGACAGTAGTGAAAATAACGAATGCAAAGTGGAAAAGGGTGAACTTAGTGTAAATAAATATAAACCTAAATAATTTGCTCCGAATTATACATCGATATTAATGGATGGTAGTTCAATACTGTAATACATAGTGGTTGAATGTCGACCTGCTTTAACTACAGAGTCATCATAGTGTCAAACAGGAAAATTTCGTTAACTGTAAAAGTTTAATATTTAAACCATCATAAAAATCTGTGTCTAATAATGTAAATGAAGAGTTTAAGAGTAACAAGTGAGTTATCTTTTACAATTATAACTCTAGCAACTAATACCTACTGAATTAAAAATAAGATGTAAATATATGAACTGTGATAATCGGTAAAGGAATATTCCACTAACGAACGATTTAAGAGGGTGTTTGTTGGGTTGTTGTGAGCGAATCATAACGTAATGACGGATAACCTACCAATATACTACTTAATAAGACGTTTAAAATTGATTACATGCGAAGAATAAAATATGGAAACCAAAATTTACGGCCTTTTATCGATAGCTTAAAAGTATTTGATAGATAAAATCAAAGTGTAGTGAACAGAACACGGGTGGGGACAATCGAATGTATTTAACACAAAATAACAGGACTTGTTAATAAAATCTAACAATCATAAAGTAAATGCTTAATTTGCGAAATGTCCATCAATTGTCTCATAATGACTCAGACTTCATTGTTCTTGCATTTTCACACAAATTGCATTCTGTTTCGTTTCTTTACTGTTCGTTCCTCTTGTCTCTCTGCTATCAGACCTTCTGTTCACGACTAACATGATATACTAATTATGTCGATATAAGTAGCACACACCACAAAAGAACTAATTGTATGACTATAAAGCATTCTTCATTCAATTCATAAACATTACTTCAAACTCTTAACCACTGCTGCTTACCTTAACTGTACATCTTGATTTTAATTCAAACTCCTAACTATTTCTTAAGGATATTATGCAATAAACTATTCAAGTATAACGTTTGTATTCTAATTAGTTAAAAATTGATTTAACTTTCTCAAAATCAATTTAACAATTATTAAAGGGATAATTTCATCAATCATTCTTTCAAATGGATCATATTAAATGTTAAATATAAACTTAGTAAAACATTCTAACCTTTCTAGTTCACACGGTTCCGCTCTGTATTAGCTTAGTGTACGTTCAAAGTTACATGACCGCTTTTTGTAACTATCTATCTACATTGAACTGTTAATTATATCAGAAGGGGTTTGGTGGATAATATAGTAATTTTAATAGTTGAGATCATGAGTCAATTGAAGCTAGACCACCATGGAAAATCTGGAAACACTGGACGGCTGTTTCGTTCTACTGTGGGGACTATCTATGGTTTTAAAAATATTTATATTCTTTTATTTAAAAAAAATACACAGATGGATTGTGATTAACAGTGGAATTGAGGACATTCACTTCATACTGTATGGGGAGCTTATCAATTCAATGCACTCATATGTCTGTTGATATTCTGCTCAAATCTACATGTAAATAGAAATGAATGTTTGGGCATAGAAACCATTTGAAAGTTTGAATGAACATAAAAGTCATGGATTTTTTCTTTGCTATTATACAGTGATACAAAAAAGTTTGTAATGCTACATATACTCCAAGAAAAGTTACGTATACAATCCGATAGTCAAGTGTAATTTTGAGATGCTACACTATTGAGTTATACATATTAAGTACGTGTTGAATGACACTAGCCAACTGTCATCACATAAAAAAGAAAAGACTACGTCGTTGAAACATCAAGATGAATGATTACAACATTCAAATAATTACGTAATAATAGAGTATTAGAATAGTGATAATTTTATCAAAGAATTTTCATCAGTGTTTATGAATTGGTACTTCAGTCCCAGCTACATAAAAAGTTTTAGGGATTAAGTAAATCATATTAATTTATAAAAAATTCCCTTGATTACTTAGCCACAATGGATTAAACAAACAGTACAATTCATCACTATTACTAAATAAACTACCATTTTAAGCAGAGTTGAATAGTAGGTAACAGTAGAAGCCAGGATGTGCTGTTCGTCCTATTGGGAACTCGTCTGAAGTCCGCATAGGATATTCCATAGCCAAAAGAGTGATCACTTGGAGAGTTTAACATCAACAACGGGAATATTGAAATAACCAAAACAAAAAAATTCAACTAATCTTTTTGTTATTTTTACCCAAACAAATCCACTGATGATATCGTTCATTCAATCATTAAAATCAATCAGGCTATAAAAATAATTTATTATTTGATTATTTTCATGAAAGGAAATCGGCAAAACGATAAGGCAGTGTGAGGGGAGGGACAGACTTACTTTCCGAGATTTTTTCTTGTATACAACTGCCTTTTTAGTTTCCTGTCGAGCCTCAGCAACGTAATCCTGTGTTTGTTTAACGTTGACATCGATTCGATCAACAAGTTCACCCTAAGACATCAATTAATTTGGGTAGAAAATAAGTGATAACCAGCTACAAAAGTGAATAGTTATTTACGTATACTACAGAACTGAAATGTTAATATGGTTACCAACGTCGCGGTAAAACAGCTTACTTATTGATATAGAACAATACAAAATATGGGTAATTATAGTCCTTGGATTCTGAGTGACAGTGACATTCTAAGTGTTATAACAACGGGAAATACAAACACATACTAGCCAGTAAATACCGGTTTGATAATTTAATATAACTGGACTCAGTATGTTAATAAGCAATGTGTTGGGTTCTGAATAATAAAAACTCGGTTGAAGTCTCAGTGTAAACATTCGAACAAATGTACAACTAGATGATGATTAATAAACAGGACGGAATAGGTGTCCTAGATTCAACCGCTAATCATGATTTAGATATACTAAAGTCTCATAAACATAAACCAAGACCGACACATCTACTCATATATATATATATATATATATATATATATATATATATATATATATATATATATATATATATATATATATATATATATAATTGCAAAGCTGATAATCAGCAACAGGAAAACACAAACTCTTACTAATAAATAAGGGTACCCTTTACATGGAATGCTGACCAATTTCTAGTATTCTCAATGTGTATTAACTATAGTTATCTATTCACTCCGATTTCTGTAACTAACCATCACAGTTACCAGTGACAACGCTGTTATTAGTACACTACTCTTGGAGCATATTTAATGCATTTTCAAAAGAACTGACTGTGCTACTTGGACTGACAACAGTGAGCCAGAGAATGGAAGTTACAAAATAATATCAACAACACTGTATTAACTAAGTCATATGAGGAGTTCTGAAATTGAATGACTCATTCTAATAACATAGCTTGTTTCCTCTAAGTCGACGAATGTCTTCATAAAAGAACAATCTCTTATATAATTTACCGTATTCTCTCACTCAACGACACATTTTGACAAAAATTCACGATCGATATAAATAAATATTACATTAAAGTCAATGAATAAAACTACAATTGGACAGGGATAAAATAGGCCTATATTGGAAAACTTGGCAAACAGTAGACTTTCACGACAAAGTTTGAAAGGTATAGATTATTTTATTATTTATGACTCTTGCCAAATTTTTTTTCTTCATAATCAGCTGGTAAGGTCAGTGATAACCATTATTTATCTCAATTCTAATATCTTGATCAATTTGACTAATGATTATGGTACACAAAGCTTTGGAATCCCTTTAATCCACTACATAGATTTAATCCATAGTTAAATTGATAGAAACCAAAGTAGACTGACTGAAAAATAATACTCATTAAAACAAGTGATAAGCAAATATATATTGAATAGTCATTTAAAGCAAAATTCTGAAAATCTATCAACTAGTCATTGAAGAACTACTATAACCATCATCAGAAAAGTACAGGTATTTATAAACAATTGTCTACGTAGGATACTCAATGTCCGTTGACCGGATACCATCAGTAACAACTTATTGTGGGAGAGAACAAACCAACTTCTAGATAAAGAGGAAATTAGGAAAATACGTTGGAAGTGGATAGGACGTACATTGAGGAAATCAACGAAATGCATTACGAGGCAAGCGCTAACTTGAAATCCTGAAGGAAAACGGAATAAAAGGAAGACCGAAGAACACACTGCGTCAAAAATTGGAAGCAGACATCGAAAGGATGAATAGCAACTGGAATAGATTGTCCAGGACAGAATTGGATGAAGATTCCTGATCAGCAACCTATGCTCTTCCACGAAGAGTAACAGGCGTAAGCAAGTAAGTAAGTCATTGACTGTAGTTGGTAAATAGGAAACAAAAAACTAATTCAGATAATATCGACAACATAATTTTGAGTTAAGATGAATTCTTATTGTATTTTAAAATCTCATAAACTTAAGTTTTAAGTTAAGCTCATTTACTAACAAGACAAATAAATAAAAGCTAAGTAATTAATATACAATTAACAAACTTGTGTTTCAATCAATGAAGCCATATCGATAAATAAATCGTGTAATTCTCGAATACTCTTTTCTAGTTTCATAATATCTTCATGACGTGCTTCAATATCGGCTAGATTTTGACGAGCTTGTTGAGTATCTGTTATAATCTAAACAAATAATGAAAAAAAATGAAAAGAAATCTAGTCCATCTGTAACCATTGATCTATCCAAAATATACATGATAAGTGAATAAGTACACGTACACTGCAAAAAACAAAAAGCGAATCGATATTGCAACAATTACAGAAGGGTATTGAAGAAAATGTTCACAACAATGAAATTGAATTTTGTATTTTGCAATCGCTTAATAATTAAAGCTGAAAACAAAGACAGATCGACTGAATTCGTCACAGTTACATGGATTATATAATTTGGAAAGTTTGTTATCCGATCTCCTAAACATAATCTGGTCGGGTTGAATACAAAGAGTAAATAAAGGACAACAGTAAGAGCTCTATTTTTTTTTACTTGAATAAAATTGGACACATACATTAGCGAGGGTTTGAGTTAAGCTTCATAAGTTATCTGCTGTGTTCCATTATATATATACGAAGGTCTACGTGTCCGTTATTTGGATTACCATTCATATCCATAAACCAGATGTTTGCGTTCAAAAGAAATGCATACAGCCACGCTCCATTCATTAGTCACCAACATAAGCGAACCAAAGCAAAATATTTATTCTTTTCTTTCCTTTAAATTACCTGTACATTTTGTATTATTGTGCAATGCTAATATTCCTCTCTTTTCTCTTACGTAACTGTTGTTGATATTTGATATGTTATGGAAAATACAAGATATTGTGTAGTCTGTTGACAGTTGAACAACATGTCACAATTCATTTTAAAATATTTACCCTATCAAACGTCTTTTTGCTACTTGACTGGTCAATCGACTTCGTTTTCATAATCAGTTGTCGAAGTTGTGATATTATTGTGTAACAATGCCAAGTGGGTGGTGTTATACTAATAAAGTGAAGTATATGAATTACTTACAATAGACCTGTGTAGACTATTAGGTTTTATAGCTCATATCATGGACTGATATTATATTAGCATCCACTGACGACCAAACAGCACTTCACAACTGTTTCGCCGCAGTATGGGACTCCTCAGAAGTTTTCATTGACGATAGTTGTGGGAAATAATGAGTTGATTGAAGTTGGAAATATAAACCACTGGATGTTGGCTAGAGTTTAAGCGCTTACACAAAGACCCGTAGGTCCTGGTATTGGTCCACCCTTGGTCCTGGATGAACACTGTTGAGTAGCTCTATATTAGGACGAAACAGTTGTTCATTGCTTCCTCCTTCTCAATGGTTGTTTAACTAAGATAATTTCGCGTAACGCAGTATAAATTACCTTAAAGACATGACGAAAAACTAAATGGAAAATTATGTTTCGAACAAAGAAGTACTGTTTTTCAATTAGGTCCTTGCGAAAGCTCTACATTTATATATATATATATACCCATAGGAAAATAAAACAGCTTTCATGAGAATAAAAGAACGTCATAGTAACCAGTCAAACAATTGTTATTATCTTTTTTAATCAAATAATCTGCTATACGTAAGTATTGTAATAATTTAGTCAAACCAGGAAGTGTTAGTCTCAGAGTATCTAACTATCATTTATTCTGTTTTATAGATAAATTAGTGAATTACGATTAGACGAGAATAAGAAAGCATTTAAATGAGAACTATTGCTAGGTTTCTTTGCCAAAAATAACGTCATTTTTGATGGACGAGTTGATTTATAGACAGTGTTTTTTCCCTAGAATTGATTGGATTTTGGCTGGTAGTGGAATTCTGGATGTATGTTTCGTCCTACTCGAGACTCGTTGACTGGAATTGCCTGCATAACTGTGTTAATGTTCAAACAGTGACCTAACCCTAAATAACGTTGATTTAATGTATGAATTGATATGAGGTGATAGTGATTACAAAAAGTTGATCTTTTTACAGTTAGTACTTAACTAAATAAATGACTAGGCATGTATAAATGGTTGATATGTTTCCCCCAGATAATTTGATACATGATTAATTTCGATCAAGTATCTAGGATAATATGGAATCAAATTTTCAGACTTCATTCACATAATAAGAGATTAATAGTAGATTTTAATTACGACTCGTGCTGAGAGGCCATACAACTACATGGAGATCGGTCTATAGAATTAATTGAAAATAGGGTTAAAAAAGCCGACAGTTTTACCAAATAAGTATTTATGTATTCCGTTTTAATCCACATGAGTTATGTGACCATTAGTGATACTAACAGGTCTCGCAAACTGAATTAGGTGAAAAGGCTTCTAAAAAGCCAACTATTGGTTGAGAGGAATGATAAGGTTATTTTCAATGTGACCTAAGAGGATGGTTTGCTGGAGTTCAAACATGCGACCTACTAGTTGAAGTTGACTGGCTAAACTACAACGTTACCGCTATACAAAATTTTTATCTATTACAATTTATAAATATAATTATATTTAACGAGATAAAACAGATAATAGAGATGTAGATAGGTTAATAGTGAAGTGGTAGATCAGTGTGGTAAAAGTACTTTACCTATTATAAACTTTTAAGTATTCTATGAAGAAAATATAATGAGATGTATAATCCGGAAAAGTACTTACTCCTTGAGTAAAAATCTGTGGATTTCCAGATTCAAGCATATTTTCCAGTTCATTATCTGTAACTGACCGTTGAGCTATTTAAAAAGGAGAAGAAAAACAAAAGTACATTATTCTAACCACAACATAGTGAGGGGAACTACCTAAAGTTTTTATTATTAAAGCAACACTCATTCAGTCAGTCAGTCAACAACGTAGAACTTCGTACGTACATACATCAGTTCGAGTTGCCATACCACATTAGTACAGAGATACAATTGTCAATTCCAATCCCGTAGTGGTAGAGGTAGTAGAAGTATAAGAAGTAATCGGAAAGTTTTGGGGCTTGAAGATGTTATTAAAATAGCATAATCCAGTGAAATAAATTTGGAAAGAGGAAAAAAGGGACATGATGAATTCAGAAGATTAGAATTTGAGAGAACACAAAGAGTGGATGCACCTGCGCCATTGCAAACGATTTCGAGCCATGTCATCTAAGGTCTCTAACCATCGGCTGCTATCATCTCGCAGATCCCAACCACGTAGTCTACACCTACTAACAGTCCACTTGTCAGTGACTTCATGGATTTGTGCCATGATTTGGTCTGGCCGTTCCTAGATTTCTTCCATCCTACTACTACACCTAGTGGCAATCAGTGGTTGGGCATACGTAACACGTGTCCCAGCCATCTCAACTGATGAAGTTTCACTACTTCATCAATTGATTTGCCATCCTTACCTAGTACCCGTTTCCTAACAACTGCATTACCTACTCGATGCTTCCAGGATATACGAGCAATGCTTCGAAGACACCTATGACAGAATACTAATAACCTACGAATATCTTCTACTCTTACCGTCCATTTTTCACTGCCATAAAGTAGGATGGAACAAACTGCTGCGCAGTAAACCCATCCTTTGGTTGGTAGTCAGATGCCATACTCATTACAATAAAGATAATTGAATCAGAATTATAAGCAATAGTAAAATTTAGATGCTTGTGTTAAAACAGTATTATTTAACTAATGATTTAATTGAACAGTATGTAGATATGGTGTAATTTCTCATTTTAATAAAACATCAATATTTTAACAATGATGAAGTTAGATATTTGAGAGGCGTATGATTGCTTTGTTTAATGAGGCTACTTTAAAAAGAAGGTGTATTTGACGCCTCTAGACAAAATATTATTCACCTATGAAATTGTTGAACAAAATAAAGGTTATTATGGAAGTAATATAAATTTCACGACTAAATTACAACTTCTTAAAGGTTTATATTTTATCATTCTAGAGGATTTGTGGAGATAGTAGTGTTTTAGAGGTTGAATTCACAAGTCAATCTAAGCTAGACCACCGATGAAAAATTAGAAGCACTGGACAGACGTTTCGTCCTTGTATGGGACTCCTTAGCAGTGCGCATCCATTCCGTGTCAGGTGTAAGACAGTTATCCACTTCAGACATGAAGAGTTGTGCAAGATCGTGAACTTATCGGAGTTAGAAATTAACACCATCAGATCTCGACTCACTCGTCTAGAGGTTAAGCAATCGCGCGGGAGGCCGAAGGTCCCAGGTTCGAGTCCTGCGCGCGAGATTGAAGATGCGCATTGCTGAGAAATCTCATACTAGGACTAAACGACCATCCAGTACTTCCAGGTTTTCAATAGTGGTATAACTTAATTTTATTTTGCTCGATATTCTAAAACTTATATGAAAATAACAAAGAAATACTTCCTATTTTATGTTTTCTATTTTTAACAGATAGTAAGATAATTTCTTATTTTATTATTGAACACAGTATGATTGACTGATAACATTAAAACAATGAAATCATTTAGAATTTAAATAATGAGAATGACAGTATTGTATACGTAAAATTAAAAGTAACAGATCAGTAATCTTTTGTTTTTATTCATAGGACTGACAAAATCATGATCGTATTATATCAAGACATCTATAACTAGCTTTTATCTTCATTGCGAAAGAATCTATACTAATTACATTCTTTTTTTAATGTAAACAAATTTTACATCATAGTGTGAATTTCCAAAGCTAAACACGAGTTCATTTTACCTACCTAAATTGTTAATATTCACTACGTATTACACATACCTAACCACCGACTATCACGGCGCGTAATGCTGACTAGTATTGGAGACGGCAGAAAGAAAGTTAGGGGTTGACAAATCAAGATGTGACATCAGTCACTAACTTCTTGTCTAAGCCATGTTGGTAGGTGAAAACTACTTGTCTGGGGTTCGCGCGACTATCGTAACCAATGGTCGGAGACTATGGGTGACACGACTGAGAATCGATCACAATGGCGTAGGTGTATACACTCTTTGCCTTCCCTTAAACGGTGAAATTAAAATAACTTTGTACCGTTTCTTCTATGAACTAATTTTTTTCTCCTCGTATCATATCCTTATATGCAATCTTCTCTTTGTATAATACGACTATTGAAGTGACTACTTCTATGAATTTAGTGTTCATCTTTTTTGTGCTAATTAAGTATGACAACTTGAGCCGATGCCTATATGTGCCTGGTCCTACGTTATAGATAACTGACTACAATAATAATGATAACAGTAATGATAATATTAATTAGAACTTACCAACATTAATATGTTTTTTTACTTAATACTTTCAAAGTCAAAGTTCAATTGATTTTATTTTATGTGAACAACTTGACAAAGAAACTCTGAATTTGAACTTGGTTTTGATCATTGTCACAATTCCAAGAAAGTTATTTCTTAATCACTTCTTTACCTACTATTACTTACTTACACCTTTTACTCCTAATGGAGCATCGGTGACCGACCAGCATTCTCAAACCCACTCTATCCTGGGCCTTCCTTTATAGTTCTATCCAATGCTTGTTCATTCTTCTTATGTTTGTCTTCATTTCTCGGGTTAATGTGTTCTTTAGTCTTCCTCTGCTCCTTTGGCATTGAGGATTCCATGTGAGGGCTTGCCTTGTGACGCAGTTGGGTGCTTCACTCAATGTGTGTCCTATCCACTTCCAGTGCTTCTTCCTCATTCCTTTCACCACTGGGATTTCGTGTGTTCTCTCCCACAGTAGGTTCTTGCTGATAGTCTTTAGTTCAAACGAGTCTGTGGGCTGTCCTCTATATACGATTTTGCAGTTTAATCCGTCGTAGGAATTCTGTATGATATTGACTATCTTCTCAGGCACACTATAGTATCGAAGAAGCCTCCATAGTATTGTCCTGTCCACGCTATCAAATGCTTTCACGTAGTCAATGAGTTTGATGTAGAGTGATGAATTCCATTCAGTTGATTGTTTCACAATGATCCGTAGTATAGCGATTTGGTCGGTACACGATCTATCCTTACGGAATCCTGCCTGTTGGTCACGAAGTTGGGCGTCTACGTAGTCCTTCATCCTGTTTAACAATACCCTGTTGAGGACTTTTCCCGGTATTGAGAGAAGAGTGATGCCCTTGTAGTTATCACACTTGCTGAGATCGCCTTTCTTTGGTATCTTGATGAGGCGTCCTCTTTTTCCAGTCTGTTGGTGCTTGTTCTTCATCCCAAATCTTGCTGAAGAGAATGTGGAGTATCTTCGCAGTTATTGCTACATCTTTTTTCAGTGCCTTTGCTGGAATGTTGTCTGGTTCCGCTGATTTGCCGCTCTTGATATGTCTGATAGCCATGCTGGTCTCTTCAATTGTTGGTGGGACAACATCGATTGGTAGGCCCGTGGGTGCTGCTAGTCAATTCAAGAGTTCTTTGAAGTGTTCTACCCACCTACCTACTATTAACACTCTAGATTGAGTAGTACCGTTGACTTATTCACTTTAATAATCACTTTTACGTAATTCATAAGTTATGAAACTAAATGAATACACAAATTTATGAAGGTGAGAGAGAGAGCGAGAGAGGATAGTTTGATGTTAATCAATCATAATACAACTAGGAATACTGAACCATCTACATACATAAATGATCATCAATCATATGATACTATCTTGAATTATGTAAATGTTACTACATTGAAATTATTGACTGACGGTTTAATTAACTTTCATATGATTTGTTACCATTAATAATCAAAAGCCAATTGTGACAAAAAGAAAACAAATGTTTATAACGTAAACAAAAATGACGAAAATATTGTTTATAGAAACTTGTCACATGAAGCTAAGTACTGTTTGTTGTTGTTATTTTTCTACTTTCTTAAAGTTGGATATAAGATCAAGAAATAGTTTCTGTGAGAAACAAAACGTATATAATTCGAAAACACCAAATTGAATAAATATGGTGTTACTGTAAACAACATAATACACCATTTGTAAATAAACAAACAAACATTAGTTTTCGATAGCACACTAGTTATGTCAGCAAATGTGAAGAATAATCGGGAGGTTAGGCAACTTTCAAAATAGCCTTGAGAGATTTTTAATTCCATAGAGTTAATCAGAAGACAGTAGATGTAAATGAATGATCTTGTTATACAAAGGGAAGGAATCTAAAGCGAATATATAATAATTTTAGATCATTATTAAGTTTTGTAAGTTGACTGTGGGTTAATATGTCAGGGAATTAGAAAACATTCAATATTGACATTTATCCACATCACTCTTAAACAACCTTGAGAATAGACTCCACACTCACTGAACAGGCATTCGATAGTGTTTAATTTCAACCTATCCATGACATTCTATGACCACCTTTCATCATTTTTGGTGGCCAACTTCCTCACACCCGGCACAGTTTAGCTTTTACCCTATACTGACAATTATCATGTGCTCACTAAAGACTATCTTCCAGAGGAAATATCTGGAGTTCTAGTGAGAACCTGTGACCAGTTGAATTAATTCGTGGTGGATATGAGGCAGTTACGCACCGAAGACAATAGATGATGGTTGAGCAATGTCATAAATTGACTGAAGTTAGACATTAACACCATTGGATGCTGGCTCAGTGGTCTAAAATTTGCGACCACACATGAGACCAGGAGTCTTGGATTCAATTCCCTGTGACTAAGTCGTCCATTCACACTGTGGAGGAGTCTTACACCAAGGCGAAAAATATCCGTCCAATGGCTTATGTTTCCTGATGGTGGTTCAACTTAAATCGGTTCATGATTTCAATGAAATTTAACAATCTCTACAACACCGTACTGACAATTATCTCACTGTTTACGAGGAAAACAATGTAAAATATCTATACTGCTTTCTATCTGCCGGTGTAAATAAATGTTTACATGCGTGTATTTTAAGGCAATGATGAGTTAAGAATGTTATTAATTTCTATAAAATAAATTATCTTTATCGGTTTATTTATATATCATGCATAAACATAACAGGCTCACCAACTTCTAATTGACGTTTCAACAAAGCTTTACAACGTTCTTTATGCTCAATCTGTATACGACCATATTGATGCATAATAGTTGTGATAGTTTTAGACAAAGTGAGAAACTGAATGGGACATGAAAAAAGGTTAAAACAACAGAAGAAAAAAAAGAATGTTTTACAACATAGACAACGAAATAATGGTTAAATGAACTGAAATATAAAATACAAAATGATTATTAAAAAGATATAAGTAAACAAAATAAAAATTGTTTGTTAGTCTTTAAATTCAGTTTAATATCAATCATGAGAGTGCTGTAGTAACAATAACTAAGATACTGCCTTATATAGTAGTGATCACTAATTAATGTATCCTATAAGCATCCTCCAACATAAACGTATATCCAAAAAAAGATAACAAGATATCACCCATGTAAAAATATACATTAGCCTTATGAACAATACATTTATATTGAGATAAGAAGTTGTTAAGTATGTAATTAAGTAGACGGCTAGAAAACAAACTAATTTAGGGTTGTATGATTAAGATGATGAATAGCGAAACTAGTGATTTATAGTTTTATAGTATTCACCATTAAATGATCTACTGGATTTCTAAAACTTGATATGAGAAAGGTATAATGATCATGAACTACACTTATCAGGTCAAATAATCGAGAAGAATATGTGGATGATATGAACATTTTATAATATACATTGAGGACTGAACTTAATAAACCATTGAAAACCAAGAAGTAGTAGGGCAACCATTTCATCCTATTATAATGAACAGTATAAAACTCAACAATCTCCATAAAGCTGCAAACTAATCATAATTATGTACTCATTAGTGAGACAATCCCTAGAATTCTATTCACAACCTGTGAACAGTAGAGTCCAATTGAATTTGATATTATACATTTATTCATAAACAGTATGGTTACAAATAGCGTAAATTGATTGAGGTTAGAAATGTAAACAATAGGTTTTTAACATAGAAGTCAAAAGGTTAAGAGTTCATAATTGAACCTGAAAATGCTAAGTTCGATCTCCCGTGACATAATAGATGCGCACTGTTGAAGATCCTCATACTATAACTAAACAACTATCAAATGCTCTTTAGTATACAACAGTTGTTTAACTAGTGTTAGTTCGCAATATAAACTACTAAATTCAACACTCTCCACAAACTTCCTATACTAAAGACTGAAATATTATTAATATATTGATGGACAACAATTGCATAGATCATGAAAAATCAAACGATTAATCCTTTTACACATTTGATGATTCTACATGCCCCCGAATGCCCTGATACGGCCAAGAGTGAGGACAGTAAACTCTCCCTCTCGAAATGCTCTCATATGGCCACGTGCATACAACCACTACCAGGAAAGTCCTACTCACTGCCTTCTCGCGGCATGACTGTTGATTACAAAATTCAGAGGACGAAAAGCGAATATCCTGTGCTTTAACCGAGTTGGTGGACACGGAGAGTCCACCTAGGGGAGTTGGAAAACCCTGATTCCAAACCAATGGTTCATATAGGCACCAGTATCCTAAAGGAACAAATCCCATGTGAACCAATCGTTGGTCAATGGCTACCATATGACTGCATCTCCTTACATTGCTCGACTGCCTTGTGGATTAGACCTCCAAGTCAAAGACTCCGGGTGTGACCCTTAAGAAAACCATCTCCTTTAGTTTGAGCACCCGGGCAGTATCCCAGCCCTCATACAAATCGAATGATTTATGTGCTTCATATCCATTTGGTGCCTTCTTGTAACTACATTCATGTGTTTAAATAAAATAAATGTTCATTCAATAGTTTATTCAAAGTCAGTAGAATGAGAATTATAGTAATTGTTCAATGTGCACAAATAAACAAAGAAATATTACAAAAAAAAACATCCAAAAACAATGCAAATATTAATTGTTAAACTATATATCCATAGATTAAAACAACTAAAAAGGTGAACTAGTGTTAGTTATAAAGTTACCTAACCACCATTTAACAACAAAAGAAAAAAAAAAGGATAACGACAAAACCACCAATAATGACGAAAATATAAGAATAACGGTGGACAGTATAGATGAAGAAATTGAGCCATATAAATATACATATATGGACATATATATATATTCTTTTGGTCAAAATTTACTTCATACCTATTTCCAATTGTCGTTTGATACGAGCTTTGTTAGCATCACGAAAATCAATTTGAATATTATTATAATCGGTCATAGCATCCATGAATAATTTAATATTTGCAAAATGCTATTTGAAATTTAGGAGAATAGATTTATTTAGATATAAATTTGATCCGATAGTTTTGTACATGAAAGAAATAGTATATATAGATATATTTTGTTCCTATTTTAATTGGAATTGATATATACAGAGTAAAACAAAAACTAATGGTTGATACAACAAATTGAATTAATTTGCTGAAACTTTCTTTTTTATATGTCCCAGTATCCCAGTCTTCTAGGTTGCCGATGGGGACTTGTTGGTCGCAGGACAGATAACGGGGGCCGTCTACTGTAACTGTGCACAGACCACAACCTGTTTCTGGATAGCACTAACTTTCGGCACAGTCATCGCCGATGTGCCACCTGGCGTGGTTGTGTACAAGACTGCTTCTTTTGAAGTACCTATCTGGACTCTGATCATGCCCTGGTCTGCGCCAATCTTACCTTACTTTTCAGTGGACAACGAAGTGACCGCCACCAATGGATTGATGTTAGCAAGCTGGTTGCAAATTCTGTTGCTAGTAAGTATCGAACCGAGCTAGCTTCTACGCTAGCTACCATTCCACCGAAAAGTATAGATGAGCATTGGTTGCTATTGCATGACGCCATGAAAATAGCGGGTACAGTCAGTTGTGGGTTCACGAAACGTCCAGCTTATAAGCACTGGGTTTCTTCAGGCTCCTTACAACTCATCGAAGCCTGTCGGTCTACTCCGGGTAACTTTCTGGTTAAGGAACTGACAACGTTGTTTACAAAGGTCTAGGAGTTAGACAGTGTACCAACGTCATGGAATGAGTCGATAGTTGTCCCTATCTTTAAAAAAGGTTCACGTCGTTCCTGTAACAACTATCGGGGGATAAGTCTACTTCCGATTGCGTCCAAACTATTGGCTTCCGTCATACTTCGTAGGTTGTTCAAAACCCGAGAAAGATTGACTCGCGAGGAGCAGGCTGGGTTTCGTTCGGGTCGAGGATGTATTGATCATATCTTCACCCTCCGCCAAATGTTAGAACACCGCCATACTTATCAAAGGCCAACGATCGTAGTGTTTCTTGACATCAGGGCTGTCTTCGATTCGTTGGATAGGACTGTTCTCTGGGATTGTCTGTTGAAGAAGAGTGTGCCTGAGAAGTTCATTAACATCCCAAAAGCCCTATATACAAACACCTCAGGCAGAGTGAGGGCATACAACCACCTCTCTCCATTGTTCCATTCGAGCAGTGGGGTTAGACAGGGTTGCCCAATCTCACCATTCCTCTTCAACTTTGCCATCGATGACATTATGGAAACAGCTCTGATGGAGGTGTGGATCTGTTGCCTTGAGAAAGACTTCTCGATCTTGAGTATGCGGATGATATTGTCTTACTGTGCGATAATGCCCAAGATATGCAATGCGCACTTAATCAGTTGGTAATCAGTGTCTGTATGTATGATATGTGCTTGTGAAACCTGGCCTCTCCGATTTGAGGATGTTAGACGACTCTCTGTGTTTGATCATCGTTGTCTCCGAAGGATTGTTGAAATCTAGTGGCAACACCATGTTAGTAATTCAGAGGTTTGGCGTCGTGTGTTCGGACACAGAGATGATGATCCAATTGGTGTCACCATCTTGAAACATCGATTTCGGTGGCCTGAACGAGTTCTACGAATGTCGTCCCAAAGAATTCCACGTCGTGCATTATTTGCTGACACTGGGACTGGTTGGAAGAAGCGGAAAGGTGGTCAGTGTATGACATGGTGTCGTGGTATGGAAGAAATCTGCAAAGGGCTGGCTTCTGTTGGTCCTTCACAACTCCATGGCTGGGGTTTTAGAGGTTGCGCAACACAGTGGCTAGAGACGTTATCAGATATGGCTCAGAATAGAAGCCAGTGGCGATCCTGCTGTAGCGTTCTTTTACTTTCTTCGTTAAAAAATGGCTGTTTCTTCCTTGACTGAAAGATTTCCTCTGATTGCACCTTTCCGCTTCCCCTATTATTATTATTATTACACTACCTTACACTATTGTTATTTTTTTTCTCTTCGAATTCTCATTGTTTTGTGTGGCGCATATATATTTGGTGCCCTCTTGTACCAATATTTATGTGTTCAAATAAATAAATAAATCGGTTTAAGCACCTGGGCAGTATCCTAGCCCTCACATAAATCGAATGAAAGACGTATGAATTAGCAACCTAATTACTACAAGTTGTGATTTAGTTAGTGAAGCATGATTTTTGAATTTTTGGAATAATTAGTGCTCTCTGATTGTAAGAACGAGTCACTAGATAGGGAGAATATTAGTAAGGAGAAATTAGTGTATATATAATATGTACACCTAGCCTTCAGTTATTCATTTGCATCTACAATTCAGTTAATCCCAAACTGTCTGCTTTTCTGATCTCCAAGTTTATGCCTACTCCGTGCTTTCTGACGTACTAAGGCTCTTATCTCTGTCTATTGACTGTAATGACTTCCACAACACGTTCAGCTACATACTACTTACAAGCAATCTTGTCAGTAACATTAACCACATTGCTGTCAATGAAATTGCAACTTACATCAACAGGTGATGAATACAAGCTATAGTAACCCTCCTACAATTAATTTTGCTTATGACTAGTGATGTCAAGATCTTCAATAAATTTATTAAACAGATAGTGTTATTCGAACGGTAACAGTTTGTCTATTTCTTCGTAATATTAAGATTGCTTCATGTCTATAAACGTGTATGCATGATCACCTGTAACAGCCCATACATATATCTCTCTAGCTTAAATGATAATCGCTTAGATATCGCTCGACAAATCATTCTCTTTCGTATATATATATATAGCAAATTGAAACTAGTCTAGTGATTTTAGTGGTTAGGCAAGCACAATGATACCTAAAGATGCTGTGGGTCTAATCCCTGTTGATGATATGAGTATATATTATTGAGAAGTCCCATATAAGGATGATATAGTTACATCCAATACTCATACTAGCTAGCTTTCAATGATAATCCTACCCCATAAACTGACATTACATGTAACAAATACAATCACCTACAAATATGATCCTAATTGTTAACTACGCAAACCGACTACTAGGTATTCATTTATTTTCTAATGATAGGAATACCAGACGAAGAATAACATTTTCCTTAAAACACGTTAAAATTGATAACCGACAAGACGATGATGATGATACAGTGATATAACAGTTAAAGTACAAGATTATTATTCTGTCAGCTACATTTCCAGTTCTATTTCTAATTAAATGTTTAATTTTAAATATATGAACACAGGTGAACTTCTTCATGACACCAATAGCTGCTTAATAACTGGAACTACGTGTATTGAAAGATCATTTTTAGATGTCATAATTGAACTAGTTATGACAGGAAAATTTTGGTTAGAAGGAATTTTCATTATCACAAGTAAAATTTAGATTTAGATTTTATCAAGAAGTTGTTCAGTTACTTAACACATAATTGAGCGAATACAGAGGAGATCAACAGTGATCAATTATTGATTTGTGTACCACGTTACGGGAAGTAGACTGACTATGTGAAATTCATAAACAATATAGTGGTTCTTGATTTTGAAGACGTTATCTAAACTTAACCAGGTTGTTGAGTTACGGCTATACTAGTAATCATTGGGTTAAATAACATGTAACCTGAGGTGTACCCACTACTATTACGGGTATTATCAGACTACAGATACAACTGGTGAGCATTGTGATTTTTGGTTTTCGATTCATACTTTAATTGATGTTCATTCGTGACGGAAACTTTCGTTTAGAAAAGATAGTTAAAAGAAGTCACCTATATCCATTACTCACAGTACCATTCGACTTTATTAACATGCTTCAAAATTCCCTTGAAACAATCTTGATAAACATTCATATTGAAATATGAACTAGAATGGAGTTATATACTATTCTATTCATCAGAACTAAGGATCGTATTCCCTGTTAAGTACCTGATCCAAGAGTGTATCAAAGGAAAAACTGCTGCTTTCGGCCATCTCAATGAGTATCTATCAGTTTACTTGTTTTCGTACGGCACGTATTGGTCTCACAAGCATGTTGCTTGCAAATGCATATCCGGATGCTACGAGATATGCTACTTGAATGAAGAATGCAAATTAATCAATAGTTCCATGATCAGCATAGCAGTTTGTGGAGGTTATTGAATTTCATAATACACATCAAGAAATGACCACATTTAGATAACGAGTGAAAACTGGGAAACATTGAACAACTCTTTTAGCTTATTAAAGAAACCTCAGTAATGAGCATCTACAGCGTCATCGGGGCTCGAATCCAGAATCTCCAGGACTAGAGGTGAGTACTTAACCTTAATGATTTACATTTCTAACTTCAATTATTTCGTGATTTTGTACAACTATCTTTCAGTACTTTAAGTGGCTAATTGTATACGGTCAATCCATGATATAAACTATGGGATTTAACAATCTTCGTAAACCCCTATATCAATCATTACCATGTACTTATTAACGACTAATCTTGAAAGTTAATACCTAAAGTTCTAATGATAACCAGTGGCCAGTGGAACTCAACCATGTAGGGTGGGAGGGAACTATCTACTAATGCCAGTGGAAGACGACCGGACAATATCACGGATTGACTGATGTTAGAAATGCAAACTTAGTATTTTAAATATCAGCTGCTCTCCACGAGATCTGAAGTTACTGGGCCCGATAAAGACTACCACTTTGAACACTGCCCCATTTAATTCGAAATCCACAAAGTACCAATATTTAGTTTTGTGCCTGCTTTATTCTATCAATTATAAGCTCTGGTTTATTGTGTGAATTTTTAGCAAATTCATTTCTATTTCAAAATTACTGTGATTTACATGTGACCCTTTGTATTTCATTATTTTACTCTAATACATTAGCTTGAATAGACTCGTATTTTCCTCATTCTTTGTGCGTTGTTGTCTTGTTGACCATATATTTATTCATGTAGCTATTCTAAGTTAGAGAAATCAGGATTAAACCGGATATACAGTACCAGCTAGATCAACTCTCTCTCCGCTTATCAACCTGCCAGGTCATAGGTCAGTGGTAGGAAAGTTTTCCTCTCCATTCTCAAGGTCATCCAGTCACAAACGAGATTCACATGTTACAAGTCTCAAGGTCGTATTATGTAACCTACCACAACAATACAATAAACTAGATCAAGACAAATCTCTCTCCTTTCATGTCAAGCACAAAATAGTGGGCAGACAAAACAAACAAGACACTGCTATATAGTACAATAACCACCAATACGATCGATATGGAACAGACGAAATATGGCTAGCAGTAAGATCCAAGACAATCGTTTCATTTTATTTCCAACTTGAAACTGGCTATCATCAATACGACTGTACAAATTTGGTAAATTAAAATCTCGCTTCCAGAAAATTCTTTTCACCCTGAATTGTTCTTACTTTCCTTAATAATATACTACTTAAATAGAATAATAATGAATGTATTCACAAAATATACCATTCCTTTTTTTTACCTGAGTTTTACGAATACGTAAATCAGCGGATGTAGCATCTTTAGCTTCTTGTTCTCTGATTGTTTGTTCCAATGCTATTTGGAAATTTGTAATAGATAAATAAAAACAAAATTGATAATGAAAACGGTCGAAAAAGATAATTTGAAAAATTAAACAATTTCGATCTAATTTTATAAATGAGTTTAAAGTTAACCACTTTCTCTACAAATAAAGTGTTATAAACTGTCAAAATTGAAGTGTAGTCGAGTTTCCGATTTGTGACTGAAGGATTATGAGTTGAGTGCTAAATCATTCAGCATCAATAAAGGTGTTTTTTTATCGTAAATGGATTGGTCTACGTTTTAGAAATTCTTATTTTAAGTATATTTTTGATCATTTTCTAGAAATGGAATCCAAAACATATTTTACTCAATCTAAGACGCATAAGCCGGATTACCTACATTCCAGCGTTGATGGGTAGGTAGATATGAACTTGGTATTGATCAATTCACTGTAAGCTCACATCTGATCACAGTTGTTCGAACATAGAACATTTAGAAGGTTTATAAATACTCTGAGGACACCTCCCGGCAACAAAAAATACTAAAAAGCCTCTCGGCTAACGATATTAGATGTTGCCTTAAGGTCAATAAATATGACTACAGTCAGAGGTTAGCATGTGTTTGTATTATAAAACCTTCCAAATTAGTGGTGATCCAATTGATTAGTTCTGACTTCATTCTATTACTCACAACGAACGCGATACTAAGAGGTCTTCAGATAAGTGTATATCCAGGAAGGCTTGGAAATTCGCAGATGTAGAGCAAATTTGTAATACTACACTAAAATCTTGAAAAGGTGTTTTAAGTGAAAGAAAAAGGTCGACATCTAAAATTTCCAAAAACACAGAAAAACCTCTGTTTTCCGATCTACATGAGGGCATAAGCATAGAAGGCTGTTTAAACGACATGTCATTTTACAAAACCCTTATCGTATTTTATACTGAGTGACAGTATCTAAAACATTAATCACTCAGCAACTTGAGACCGTTTTGACAGAACAGAACTTTTGCTAAATAACCCTATCAAATTCAAGATTCAATGACAATGTAAGCTCTCCGTAGCCTCCGAAAACAAAATAGTGAACTTGAAAGAAAAAAATCACTTTAAAATTAAATCATTACAACGAAACCAAGCGCTAAATATGCTTTAATCTACCTCGGTTCATGTTATAAGAAAGGCTTGATTTAGTGTCATTTATAAATTTGTCTTCATTGCCTACTTGACTGGAGTTGTAAGGAAAATGATGACCGCGAGATCGAAGTATGGTGTTTCAAGCTAACTTATCATTTAAAAAGGTGAACTCAGATTTTGACACAATCGTATCGTTTTCGTTACCAGGTATAAAAGTCCTGAGTACAGTTATGTATATATAGGCTTTAAAATACACATTACCAAGGAGTCCCAAATCAGTACGAGATATATGTGTATTTCTCCCTGGATTTCAACTGTTTTTTAATTGATTTCAATTCGTAATGAAAATTTCTTTTAAACAGTGTACTAATATTGTGTTTGGTTTCTATGTTTTTCAGTTATGTATCGAGGGAATACTCAAATGTTTTACAGTAGATCAATGGTTATGAAACCTGCATTTTTCAAGATACAAACTCAGAAGACATATGAGAGAGAAAATAATAATTATAAATAAACCCTAACATAAGTCTGTTGAGGACGTTAGATACCCAGAGCTCACTTGGAAAAGGTCCTAACTTTGTAATTTTGAAAATATGAATTTTATGTTTTCGCGCCACGAGACTCTTAGTTGACCTATAGCTTACATTTCCCACTCAGAAACCTTTGACTGTTATTGGTTGGCAGACCTTTTTTAGTACGCTACTTTGTGGCCCTCCCAAGGGCTTTTCTATCATTGTATAAATGAGCTTGATTTGTGTGCTTAGTGACCTCGTATTTTCTGGAAGCTTGTAGAATACATTCTCTACGCCTCATCAAGACTTCTTGATCTAGTTAGCAAGGCCGGGGACAACGGATTAGAATAGCCTATCGTGTCACTGTATCTTTGACCTTCGTTCCCGTTTACCGAGTAAAATGAACTCGTAATAGCATTCAAGCATATCAAAGTTATGCAATATTTCTTCTGTTTCCAAACTTAATTAGATTAGTTTATGCGAAGAATATAGTAATGAAGTAATCTTGGTGTTAATATTATTTAGTCATTATATATATGTTACTCTTTCCTCTAACTTTTCATAAACCTTTTTCATTATACGAAAAATTAATTCATTTTTTGTTACACGTAGCACAACACTTGAAACTGTCTTATTTTTAACTTTGAGAACAAAAAAAGGAAAGTATGTAAAATACTTCTTTTAAGTGTCTCCACAAGTGGCTACACATCCATTGAAATAACCATAAAAATAAGTGGTATTCACCTACCATATACATATGAAATCTAGTTATAATTTAAAACACAGGTAAGTTGATTATCCATATAACTTTTATTGAGAACATGTTGTGTTGTTTGGAAGCGATATTTTAAAAGTCAATCAATAAAACTATTCAAAAGCTAATCATGGTACCAGAAGTCATTTAGGTCTAGAGCTTTTAAACGTCACACTGGTAGATATTCATAAATCACCATCATCATCATCATCATCGTAGAAAAGACTATCACCATGTCAAACAGAAAGTGAGTTGAAATTCAGAATTATGCATGATAACAACAACACGTAGTACAGTTTATATAACGTATAGGAATTCTTATGTGATCAGTGAACCCAGTGAACACTAAATTTTCTAACAACGTATTTTAGTTTTATCGATAAATTCGTACAACATTCAAAATGTTTCACACAACTGCAATCCTTCGATCAAATTGAAATAGATTATTTTTATTCAGTAGTCTGTCAGTAACAGACTTTATCAATTTAGAACGGATTTTATATCATCTGGAATATTCTCATGACATAAATTGTGTAATTTTCAATGAAAAATTGAGTAAAATTACAGTCTGATGATTGAACAAGTCAAATCTAAAGAAATGTTAACATAAACAGTCAATAAAAAAATCATTTGATGAAGTGAGTCTTTAACGACCGAAGTAGTTAGAACATGTACTACGTAAGCCCAACCAACCTCTGCCTCCATTCATCATGTCGGCTAGGGTAGCAATAGGTTGGAAAAAGACTATAGATGTTCAAAAGAAGACGTGACATCAGTCCATGAAGTCATAAACTGTGGGATTGGGTTGTGTACGTAAGTGCAGACTATTACTTTGAGGTTCGCGCGACTATAGCGACTCAATATCTGGGGTTGTTGGGCTATAAAACTCGAAATCTGTTGTCATTGCTTAGATCAAAAGTTTTAAAACCACTTCACGATTTTCATTCTGCAAATTCACTGATTTCTTCAGAATCACATTTTCTGTGTTATATGTCCGATAAGAGTGGACTGTGATTAGTTAACGGTTACGAACAGATAAATATATGTGAATTGTAATATGTACTTTCCTAACCCTTTGTATTTGTTATATAATTTGGCTCGGCCATATATCGTGTTATTGATCAGTGTTTAGATTAAGCGTCTGACACTATAAAAATAATTTGCTCTAAAAAACTGAACACTCTGAAACTAGGTCTAGTTTTTTTCACTACCACTGATACTTTTATAACATCTAATACGATAGTATGCTTTGATACTTTCATTTCTGTGCCACGATTTTTCAGCTTAAACCGATACACATCTGAGCCAGTTTCTATTTTGTTTATGACTAATTAGTTGATAGTGGAGTTTCAATATATATATATATATATATAACAGGAGCCCGTCTACGGTTACTGCCTCTTCCAAACCCAAGGGAAGGAGGAGTGAACATAGGGTTTACAACTTAATACCATAAAACAGAACTTTCTTTAACAAATACAACAAAATTATAATTACTAATAATTCGAAGAAACAGTTCCAACCTCCAAAATGTTTATTCTGTTATAACTCATCTTTCTTTGGATCTTAGATACTAGGCTACTAGGATATATTCACATCTATTAGTACTTGATTGTTAGTTGGCGCTATGGCCAGCTCAATTTTTTCGGTCCACTTATTTTCCAACAAACTATCTAAACAAAGATGGATGGTAACTAGCAGTGGAATCCAAGACACGCGTTTCGTCCTAATTGGGACTTATCAGCCGGATATGCCTGTATCCCAGAGTTGATGTACAGTCCGAGACTCGAACCCAATACCGTTCGCTTCAAACACCATCGAGTTATTCACTTAGCTACTGATAGCTACTAATAGCCACTAGGTTGTGCAATGGGGTGACTAGCAGGTACATCTAGCTGAAGAGTCCTAAATAGGATGAAACGCGCGTACTGGATTTCACTGCTAGTCACCAACCATCTTTGCTTATAATATTTGTGACTTAAGGCAATATCAAGGCAATCCGCACAAGATGCACATATGACAATAACAAACTGATCAATTACAGTCATAAATATCAATGGGAAGATTCAAACGAACAATACAAAAATGAATCAACAAACTATCTGTTTATTTGAACTGAATAGTTATAAATGCTAACTGAATATACTTACAAACTATCATAAAAAGATTACAAATTATTATGATGATAAATGCTGTAAAACTCAAACAGAAAAACTATAGTTTTTGGCGTATTTTCTTTTTTTTAAAGTATCTTTTGATTAAAACAAGAAACAAACCTACTGGAATTCAAGTACCTTATAAATATATATGATGGATGAAAAATGTAGTTATAACAAATGAACTGATAAGAAAAACGACCGAATACTTAGTGGAAGGTACCGACGGTTAAAAAGTATTATTTTCAAATATAAATTTGTTGCAATTTAACATAAGTGATCATGAGGATACTTTACCGTAGCAAAATTTATAGTACTGAATAAAGGTTATTATTATCATCATTATCAGGAAAGGATTTTTGTGGATATTATAGTAATTTAATAATTGAATTCATAAGTCAGTTGAAGCTAGACCACCAAGGAAAATCTGGAAGCACTGGATGACCGTTTCGTCCTACTGTGAGACTCCTCAGCAGTGCACATCCACGATCCCGCTTTAATTGACTCATGAACTCAACCTTTAAATTACTATAATATCCACAAAAACCTTTATCTGATTACAATCATCATATACTCACTAGTGACTGTTTCCAACAGGTATTTCCTGGAGTTCTAGTGAGAAACCGTGACCAGTGAAGTTCAACCGGATCTATTGTGAGATAGTAGCTCATTAATGACAATAGTGGACGGTGGTGTAACTTTGTGGATTGGTTGAAGTTAGATAATAACACCGTCGGATGCCAACTCAGAGGTTTAATGGTTAAGCACCCTTCCGCGAGACTAATAGGTCCTGGGTTCGAATCTCGCGGGGGGCGGAGTCGTGGATGCGCGCTGTTGAGGAGTCCCATACTACGAAGAAACGGCTATCTAGTGCTTCCAGGTGGTCTAGCTTCAATTCACATATGAATTCAACCATTAAATTACTATTATTATTACTGTAATTTGGTTCGATGGAAACCATGTCATATCATATTACCCAGTTTAATTAATTCATGCTATAAATTAATAAATTTAAAAGAAAAGAAAAATGAAAATGAATGATCAAAAGAAAGAATGTATACAAACTTACATTTTAGCTTAAGTCGAATTTCTTTAGCTGAACGTGTAATACTCTCATTTAATTCTTCTAGTTGTGTTTTTGTTTCTATGAATTAAAAAGAAAAAGAAGAATAGTGAAGTGTTATTAGAAATTATAATTATTACTGATTAATATACTCAATGGATATCTTTGGGAAATGATAATAGAAATAAAAAAAGGTTAAGATTTTTTATATAAAATTAATTATTTGAATTGAGAGGGGGGGTGCAAAACTATAATTTATGAACGAACCAATTAGATTTAGGATAATAGGTCTTAGATTTTGGAGCGAAATTCATTTGACTAAATAGCGTTTTGGTATTCTAACTTATATCAGTTCGTGATGAAAACCATAAATATAATTCCTAACTCTAACCATAGACTGTAAATAATAATTCTAATTCTTCATACTGCTTTGTAACCCTTATTTAGTCCCACATAGTATATATATCATACAGTGAATGAACATTTGACTATCATTAATTCACATGATACTAACGAGTGTACTACTTCTCATGGTTATTCTTTATTAACTGTTCAAGCGGACTAGTAGAACATGATTACTATCAATAATATCTTATTTCTAATTTGTAAATGCCCAGATTTCGAGATTATCAAACTTTAATTCATCAATTTCAGTTTGATTGTTTTTTACATAAGAAAACATTGTATGTCAAATAACAAAGAAGATAAAATCATGATTATTGTTACTAACTTATTTACCATGTAATTAGCTTTGAGTTACACCCTAACTGTAAGAACTAATGATACTACCCGGTTGCTGAAATCTAAGCAGGTGAAACAGGTTTTGAACTTGTGAATTAGTGGATAACAAATTAATCAAGAAAAAAAATAACTTGAAAATAAACTCATTTTAAGTTATTCATCATAAAAAGTTAGCGCGTGTGATCAATGAAACTAAGATATAATCGGCCAATGAGCGAAGGATAGGCTGACAGACGAACAGACAATCCGTTCAGTAACCTCTTTAATATGTAAATTCCTTTCTGTTATTGTTTTCTACTTCAGACTTCATTAATTTTCAACTGCTTGCAAATATGTTGAACAAAGTATGCGCTAGTTTTCTATATTTGATCGTGAGTCTTGTATCTAGTATAATATAATCACAGTTTGTGTACATCATATTGATTGAGTATCCAGTCAGTTTAGTGGTGACATAATCTAAGGCACAGGTTGTATTATAATATCATACCATGATAAACAGAAATATTCTTATTTTGCTATTATATCAAAAAGTCAATAATTAAAAATACGTCCAGAAAACATTAATCAAGACAGAAAGTAACACTTATAGTTTTCCTGTTTCTATGACAACAATGTTTATGGTGTAAAATGTGATCATAGTTTCTAAGTGTGTTTACCATTGTCTAACAAATGCTATGACGGATGGAAATCAGTAATTTTCATATATAAATATCATGACAATAACTCAGGTTCATTTAACCGAACAAATAGTTGAACATGGAATACTATTCCTATTTTTGAAGCATTTTTCTGTAATTTTTTTTAAAAAAAAGTGATGTGAAATTCCCGTTACCATGTATAAATAATCTCTCACACTGAAATTAATTAACACTTTAGAGGTTATCGATCTTTTTTCCGTTTTAATAACAGTACAGTGTGAAAGAAAATAATCATCTTACTAAATCAAGTAACCCATTCTATCAGTCAGTTACAACGTAGGACATAAACGTGCATCAGTCCAAGTTGCCATACCTCATTAGCACAACAAAATGAGCACCAAATTCATAAAAAGTAGTTAATTTAGTGGTGGTAATATATAAAAGAAAGATTGCATATAAGGACATAGTGCAGGAAGAAAGAATTAGTTCGTAGAAAGATAAGAAGCGATTTTAATCTTATAGTTTAAAGGAAGATAAAGAGTGTATACACCTACGCCATCGTGATCGATCTTCATTAACTATTAAAGCGTTAATAACTGATTTAATCATTGATACACATATGGTAGTATTATTCTGTGATCAAAAATGATCTAGATCTCTAATGAATTAATACGATTGAAAATGATTTGAGTCGCAAAATCTTATCAAAGAGCCTCATTATTTTAAATGGTTTGCATGTTAGACAGAAATCTAGTTATTTTAAATAGTCTTACTCTTATTCTAATATCATTTGGGTGCAAATTTGATCCGTATGTACGACAAAGAATTATGTATACTTTAGTCTCATTATGTCTTTGGAAAATATATTGATAGAACTTGTGAACAATACACATTTATCTCGAAAAAGTAAATGAATATCAGCTGATTTATACATATGAAAGAAATTAGATTGACATGTACTATAGTTTTGTATAATCAGTTTGCTTGTAAGTGGAGTTTAATTTAATAAAAAGACACTTGATGAAACACAAAACAGTATTTACTCAATCAATAAAAGAAACGAGTATAACTTCGACCTGGTGATCAGCCAATAACATCACCATCGACAAATATTTCTGGTTCTTAAAGTTGAACACATAAACATTGGTAAAAAGGGGCACCAAGAACATATGCGTCACGCAATAGCAATGTGACCAGTAGTAGTTATCCTTGATTTGTGAAGGCTGTGATAGTTTCCGAGTGCCCAAACCGGAGCAGGTGGTTTTCTTATGGGACCACACCCAGAGCCTTTGACCTAGAGGTCTAATCCACAAGATAGTGTAGCAACGTCAGGGGATGCAGTCCCATGGTAGCTGGTGACCAACAATAGGTTCATACGCCTTTTTGGTCTTCCGTACGCACTAACGCGGTTAAAGCACTGGATATTAGCTTTTCGTTCTCTCATTTCTGTAAATAACAACCCCACTGAGAGAAGGCAATGATTAGAACTTCCCTGAAAATGAGTAAATACGCGTGGCCATGTAAGAGCATTTAGAGAGCGAGAACGAATTCTCCCTACCCTCGGTTGTACCAAGGCATTTTGAGACCTAATTTGGGCCTCGCCGACTTCATTTACTTAAATATCAGTGTTAATGTTCACATTAACACATAAACCCAGCATCTTTCGCTCCAAACGCTAACGCATTATCTGTTGATCTATTGATTCCGGGTAGTCAAGAGTTTGTGCAATGTGTATGGATTTTATTTGCAAGTCCTGGTAGTTTCCCGTTGCTGATGTGTTAAGGACTGCAAATGATTAGCACGTCTGCACCCTGTAAGGATTTCCTCAGTGTTACCATCTAGTCACAAAATTATCATTCAAGATGAATAGTGGCTAACAGTGGAAAATAAAAGAGGTTTTAAGTAAAAGGTTTTGGACCGCATACTGTTTACATGTGTATAATAATGATATTACCTGGCTACCCAAATCAAAGTAGTTGTATGGGGGTCCGAACTTAAGGCTTACTGACTGAAAGTCACATGCTCTAACTACGCCACAGCTATCTAAAGTTTTACTCCACTGAACGTTAATCATTTGGATCGTTAAACCACTACTATACTTTAAATGTGATCCAACCAAATGTGTCAAAATATCGAAGGGAAAAGTTGTAATACGATTAGTACATGTATCAATAGATAAGTAGTGAAGCAGCATGATATTCACGCGGATAACCATGAACATAAATTTAATTGGAAAAGTGTTGGAATTTTGGATCATAGAAGCTATAAGAATGTAAAAGAATTTCTAGGAGCATATCATTTAGATCAACTAGCAATCGATAAGCATATAAACATGAATCTGACATACCAGCCCATTAAAAAACGGTCAGTCAGCCACGAAGTGAGAAGTCAACCAAAGAAGACAGCCAATATGAACGTAAGAAGTGAAGACAATAAAACCTGCGAAGACTATTAATTAAAAACAAAACCATCAAAAGAACTGATATGACGCTTATGGAGTAACTAAAAAAATCTCATTGCTGAATAAAAAAGGAACTGATATCATCCATAATGATAATTAAGGCTCCGCAACCAAGCTATCCAGTTCAGAGAAGACAACACTACTAAAAACATTCAGCTTACAGTTGCAGAAGTAGTTTAGTGAAAAGGACAATCGATGACAATCAGAAGTGACCTAAAGGAAAAGGGCATTTCATTGGCAGAAAATGGATCAATTTCATAAAGATTATAGTGGTATATATGTGAATGAGTATTTGTGAATTTTATTCGGTAACCAATACAATTTTCCGCTCATTCTTGTGTTCTATCTCAAGGTAGTCAGTTTAAGGGGTTAGCGCGTAGCACACCGTGTATCGGAATCAGACATTTGGACACCGCCCATCACAACAAAAATCTCCATTATTTCAAGAACATGTGCTATAAATCATAACTCAATGGCTGACACTAAAATGTTTATAGCACTGAGACAAAACGCAATCGTTAATATACATACTATTCTGTTACATTCTTTTATATACAACACACTTCGATCAATAAAATTCATTTGATTTGTCCTAAACGAAAATAAGAATGGGTTGGAAACAAAACCTAATCCAAGATAAGTTGAAACAAAATGGTACAAAAGTTAAATTACACAAATTTTTGTTGAAAGAATAATAGGAAAAACTTCTAGTTCCTTTCGAATTGGCCCACTTACCTTATTAGGATTTATTTCACAATGACAATAATGATATTATTTTTTTGAAAATGAAATTGTTCAACAATAACAGAGGTTAATTTATACCTTAACTCAGTTGGTCAATCATAAAACGATGTAGAACAGGGGAAAAATGTGCCTCATTTTAAGATATTATGTCTTATACCGAGTATAAAGAGAAAACATTGACAAGATAGAAATCAAAGGAATTATCACAAAGTTCAGTTATCCTCTTAAAAACTTTATTAAATCCAAGATTATTTTTATACTACTCAGATAAATATTGCGTGTTGTATTATTTCGAGTTTTTACTCACTTGGATTTTGTTGAAGTGCTGACAAAATTTCACCATGTTTTGTTTTAACTTGACTTATTTCTATGCGAGTCTTTTCAATTTCTCTTCGAATCCATTCAACCTAAAAAGAAATTTTGATTTTATACGATTACATTAACATAGATAGTTGAAATACTTCACTAAAGAAAAGATCCATTTGAGAACCACCATCTACTACGACGGCTTCTTCTGATGATGGAAGATTTGGTAGTTCGTTATTCTATTCATAAAAATTATTGTTCAGTAATGAATTGTTTTACCTGTCGTAGGACTGCGAATAAATCTTTGGCCATTGTTTACCGTACTAAATAACACTTGCATACAAAGACAGTAGTAGTTGTAGAAGTAGAATTAACTTAAAAATGAATGAATTCCTGTCATAGAAAATGAATCTAAAAAAGTGAAAGAAAACATGAAATCTTTAAGGCTTTGGTGTAGTATGTAAAAAACCAATAGCAAACAACAGATAGCTAGTCACAATGTGTCAAGTAGTAACAGAAACCAAAACTGTAAATTAATATACCATACTATGAAACCCTAATTGTACGCATGACCTGAAATATTTCTTAGTTGAGATATATTTTCAAAGTTTAATTTACGGCCAAATCTAAGCTAGACCATCTTTGAAAACCTGGAGGTACTGAACGGTCGTTTCGTTCTAGTATGGGACTCCTCAGTAGTGCGTATCCACGATTCAATACGAAGGACTCGAACCCGTAACATACAGTCTACCGCGCAGACGCTTAACCTCTAGACCACTGAGCCGGGATCCAACAGCGTTAATGTCTAACTTCAATCGATCCATCATAAATTTATTGATTTTATTGTTCATTCAAACACAAACATTGGTACAAGGATGCACCATACAGATAACCGCCACACAAATTACTTGATTTGTGTGAGGGCTGTGATACTGTCCAGGCGCCCAAACCGAGACAGGTGGCTTTCACAGGGGGCTACTCCTCGAGCCTTTGACCTGATGATCTATTCCACAAAATAGTGAGGCGACGTTAGGAGATACGGTCTCACGATAGCCGGTAGCCAACAATAGGTTCATACGCCATTTGTTTCCTTAGGATCCTGGAGTCAATGTTCACCATTGGTTTGGAATCAAGGTTTTCGAACTCACCAACTCGGTCAAAGCGCCGGACATTCGCTTTTCGTCCCCTCGATTTTGTTAGCAACAGTTATGCCGTGAGAAGGCAGTGAATAGGACTTTCCTGGCAGTGGTTTTATGCCATGCCCCCCCCACTCTCGACCGTATCAGAGCATTTAAGGGCATGATACATTTCCCAATAAAGTTATTAGTTCAAATCCTGAGTAGAGAGGTGAAATGTTTAACTTTTCGGCAATATATTTAGCCAGTTTATTATACCGATCATTACACATTAATTTCCCCTGTTCTTGTTACTTAGACAAGTAGTTAAAATTTACGAAATGAATTTGTCAAACAATGAGTCCGGTTAGTTCGGGCAACTGCCAGTGTCTGCGTTATGTCAGAAGCCCGTAGATAGATTTAGATGAGTATCAGTCATACATCATATAATTTCTTGAAATTTTTAATAATTTAAAATATAGAAATGCAATAGATTGAGTAAAACCGACATGTCAAGATGTTGCATATTATCTCAACATTATTGAAATGTGCCTCGTCAAAAATTAGGGAATTCGGTGAGAATTGTCGGAGTTTAGATAGCTCGTTTTCAGCCGGTTGTAACATTTATAATTTGTCGAAATCGATCTTAGCTGAAGTGAGGGTGTTTATTGCTATCCTCCATAAGGAGTCTGTTACGTCATTGATCTGTCTACCCAATAATATACAGAAAACTTGTCTCTATTTATGCTAAGACCTTGATTGGTTTAACTTTGAGGCTAGAATTGTGTGGGCCTGAATTGAGACTAGCGGCCTTAGGGAAATACGAAAACTTGACAAGCGAGAAAGAAGACGAGTCAATTGGAACAATACTCGATTTATTTCCGATTTCCAATCCAGATTAGTGTAAAAAGATACATGAATAAACAGATGACTAACATGACCAAAACGAACAAACAATTATAAAAATACAATAATGTCCAAACTGGGCAGAAAAATGGAGGACAAAAGGTTACGTTTAAATTACAATTATAGAAAAGGGTATAGCAGTGAGTCATAAATCAAATGAGAGCTTATGATTTATCGAATAAAGTAGGGGAAAAACTAAATGTCAGTATTTTTGAAAAACCGTCTCCAGAAATAGTTTCCGCTCTGTCATGGTTTTCTTTGTTTCTCTGTACACATTAGCGTCTGCTACTTCCATTTTAGCACATTTTACGAAATGGATATAGGATGTGAGTTATGAGATGAATTCTAGTTGATGTACTTCGGGTAGACCATATCACTCAGTATTTCTTAACAAAGGTTTGATTTAGGTCTTGTGGTCAATAAACATCGTAATGAAAATTATTGATTACTAGGTTATTAGCCAAAAGTTGTCCTCCAAAGGTATTATATCTTGTTTGAGTGCAAGTGGTTTCCAGTCTTTATTCACATGTTGTAGCAGTACTGCTTTAGTGAAAACAGTAGAGGCATTAGTCGTGATTGTCGAAATTGCTTCACCATTTCTTCGAACTACTGGCGTCAGTTTATTGCGTTTTTAATGTTTTCAAACAGTTGAATAGCTTTTGTTAACAGGTGTAATGGGTATGAGAGACCTCGTTGTAGTATAACAGAGCAGCTAGGAATGAAGCGCGGGAAAAGTTCACCAGTCCCAACAACAGTATAGTTTTAAAGTCTGGCAATGGGTAATACTTAATAGCTTACACATCATCAGACGTTTAATCGACTAAGTTTCACGCGGTTTATTTATCGTATATCCATATGCTGATAACCTACTCGGAGTCAGTAACCACGAAATACAACAAATAACTCACCTAAAAACATTACATGAAAGGTTAAGTGGATATTTTTTATTAACAAACTTGATGAAATTCACAGCTAGACCTATGATCAGACTAAATATTTTGAGTTCTATGTCCCTGGGCTCTAACTAATAGTAAGATGGTACTGATAGCTGTTATTTATTTATTTATTTGAACACACAAATATTGGTACAAGGGGGTACCGAATACATACGAATATAATCCATAATATAATATTTATTTATTTATGACTGTATAGCCTGATAATAAAATTGTGGAAGCAAATGTCCTATCAAATAATCCTTGTTTGTTAGCAAGCTCGAGTGTGAGCATAGGATTATGCTAACTTTGCTGAGTACTTTGCACTTTGATGGAACGAAGTGACATCATACATATGCTAATGAGGTGGGATTTGAGTAGTTGCTGTGTCGTTATACATCTAACATCGTATGTGTGTCCAAAAACCGAAAAATATAATCCCTCAGGTAATGGATGCAAACAAAAATTGTGTACTTTCTTCAAAGTTGTCTCCATAACATAATTCACATGAAATATAAGGGGAGACAAAATTGTTAATTTGGGACATTATACAAAGCGGTGCTATATGCACTAATTCTACACGCTTCTGTATAAGATTCCCAAAGTACTGGTGGACCTAGTAACACATCGCAGTGAGAGGATTCCAAGAATTATATTGGTGAGACTATAATTTATGGATGACCCTTGAGCGGCGTAAAAGTGACCTTGAAAGTGTGCACCTAACAACTAAGGTTAAATGAAGGTTATAAACCGGTGTGGGGAATTAAAATTATGGTTTACAGTTAATGGTTAGGAATTAGATTTAGAGTTTTCATCACGAACTGACATCAGCTATAACGCCAAGACTCTATATAGCCAAATGGGTGGCTGAATTTCGCATCGAAATCCGAGACCTGTCATCTTATACCTGATTGGTTCGTTCATAAATTATAGTCTCGCTTTTATACTTCATACAAGTTAGTTGAGATCTCAAGAAACAGCGTGTCTGCTTCTGCCCCCAAATGCGCTGGTACGGCAGACAGTGGGGGAGTCACATCTCCCTCTCTAAGTGCTCTCACATGGCCATGTGCACACAATCACTGCCTTCTGACGGCATAACTGTTGCTAACAAAATCGAGGGGACGAAAAGCGAATGTCCGGCGCTTTGACCGAGTTGGTGAGTTCGAAAACCTTGATTCCAAACCAATGGTGAACATTGACTCCAGGATCCTAAGGAAACAAATGGCGTATGAACCTATTGTTGGCTACCGGCTATCGTGAGACCGTACCTCCTAACGTCGCCTCACTATTTTGTGGAATAGATCATCAGGTCAAAGGCTCGAGGAGTAGCCCCCTGTGAAAGCCATCTGTCTCGGTTTGGGCGCCTGGACAGTATCACAGCCCTCACACAAATCAAGTAATTTGTGTGGCGGATATCTGTATGGTGCATCATTGTACCACTGTTTATGTGTTCAAATAAGAAACAAATATAAATAAAACGATGGGAATAATTTCACACACATAGAGACCGCCCTACCAAAAAATGGAAAATTTGGCAATTAACTTGCAACTAAATGAATTGTAACTATATTTCGTGTAGGTTTAATGAACTGAACTTTCGCTAGTTAGTTTTACCTCAAGGACGGGGGAACTCAGAGTTGATCAAACACAAAGTAAACTGGCTGTGGCGAAATACTAAGGCTATTGTTACAATTTCGTTAGGAGATTAATAACAGTACAATAAAAGCTGATGCTGATTCAATTTGTAAACAACCTTTCTGTTAATGCTAAAATTGAAATTACATCACACATACAACAAAAAACAGCATTTATTATTGTTTATCAATGTCAGAAACTTAAAAACTATGGGAATTGTATGGAATAGTACTGAGAAATCAATAAAATTCACAACATACCTTAAAAGGAAATTGTTCTGCAAAACCTTGAAAATGCTCGAAGGTCTTTCAATTTCCAATATCTCTGATGCGAGTGAGAGTAAATCAATTGGTTTCTTTGAGTTCGCGCCCAAGTACTAAGGTATTGTTCCATGTCCATGACATTATATAAGTAAATTTTATGGATGAACATGGTGGTTATTTTAACAGTGGTATGTATAAATCTGTGCATTTGTTCTAGGAACTTGGAATTACCATAACTAACAGTCATCACATTTGAAGGTGCTCAACTGACTAGTTGTAATATTAAATTCCGGGGATTGGAACAAAAGGACGAATAATGATCATATGAACCCAAAATAAAATAGGTTATTAGAGTTGCTGATTAGTCAAGAGTAGAAATAAATAAATAAGCAGGTAGAGAATACGGTCAGATGGCAATGATAAGAGACTGGGTAGAAAGTAGAGGGTTACTGAAGACAACAGATAACAATTATAATAATGGATAAAATGTAAGATGGTGCAGTCAATGTCGAGAGGTCTGAAAATATCTTTCCACATTATTGAGTACACTTAACCAACGACTGGAAACGTCGAGTATGTATTTTATTTTCGAGACTCCTCTCGAAACTGCTCACTGGGGGCTGTATTTATACTTCCTGAGTGTTCAGAGAGGAGTCTATTAGTAATGAACTATTCGGTGATCTGACCTATATGTTCACTCCTTAGTATTGAGTCTGTTTGGATTTATCGGTTGGAGCTCAGTTCCGAAGTATCATGTTTTTATCGGCGTGAAATGGGGTACATTACTACTAGGTCTTCTTTTATTTTTATGTGAATCAACTAGAACATTCCTAGCTAGTGAGTTGTGTTTTCATAGGACTTTGCTTCCAGACCACTGACTCGGGATCTAACGGTGTTAACGTCTAATTTCAACCAATCCACGACATTGCACGACCGTTCACCATTGTCTTCAGTGAGTAACAACCTCACAACAGACACAGTTTAACACTAATAAACACGGCTTCTTACCGTCGGGAGCCGGGTCAGTGGTTTAGAGGCTAAGCGTTCACACGCGAGACCGAAAGTCCAGGGATCGAGTCTTCTGTTCAGAATCGCGGATGCACACTGCAGAGGAGTCCCAGACTATGACAAAACGGCCGTCCAGTGCTTTCGTGTTTTCAATGGTGGTCTAAAACTGATCCATTCATTATATCAATCTAGACCCTACGGTCTCTCGAAGTTAAATCAGGCAATGGAAATTTTCTATATTTAACCAACAGTCCAGTTTGTACGCTTCATAGCTAACTGAATAACCGTTAAAAATTTGAAAATGTAACGCAGTGTACATGACCACGCGTTGTTCCACATACTGCACACAATTATACTCAGAACAAAATGTCGTTATAGAGGCTTACGACGCTTGGTTCCTAGTATGCTATACAATCGTCTTGATGCAAAACTACCACATGATTAGTCTCTTCGATCTTTTAACTTGTAACTTCGATTAGTCTTAGTTTTAGTGTCTGGTTCTTTAGGTTAAACGATTTGCTTATCGAGACAATATCATTGGCTTCTGTTTCATAAACGGATGATCTTCCTGGTTATTCCACGAACATCTATAAGTTAATCCGTCCCAACGACCAATTAAATGCTTGACTATAATCGATATAATCCAGTTACTGACACAGTTCGGTCTTCATCTACTAGAGTTGAAATGGGATTGCGTGACCGTTTAATTCAACGTCGAAGCCACACCATATAATGAATCCAAAGCTTAGTGATAAGATTATCTTAGTTTTTATGCTATTAGAGAGCATACGTGACATTACTATAAGGAAAATCCATGGGAGATTACGGAATAAAGAAAATTTTCGCATTAGAGGCAGACATGTCTCTACATATGTTCACTAAGTGGTATTGATTTTTTAAACCGTATTGGTAGCCTTTTGCGCTGACGAAACTGGTTTGACATTGCTGATGGACACGTTCAGTTTAAGAAACAACTTGTCTAATACTGTTTTTTCACTAACCCTGCAACACTTCTGACTGATGTTCTTCTCAGACAGTGGGAGGAAGTCATTCTCCCTTTATATTTTAGGCAAATTAATTAAGAACAAAAAACAACCAATCAAACGAAAGGCAAACATGATAACGGCTGAAGAAAAAATGATTGGGTAAAGTATTTGTTAGTAGCGTGGAAATCAGGAAAAAATAATTTTGCAAAAGAAATGGATGGCACCGATTTCATAAGAAGCAAAAGTGTGAAATAAATGCACAAGAATATAAGTATCGAGAATCTAAATTTTACTTCTAAGAGAAAGCGAATTGTTATTGACATCCATTACCATGCACAGTGACTTTCTGAACACAAATTTAAGCATCCATATGAACAAACTATGGATCAAACTGGTGTTTCAGTTGTTTTGACTTCTGGTTTGTAATTTTTGCTCGGGAATGGCACTGATACTAAAGTGACCGAAAATTCAGATACGGATAGTTTCAGTGTTCATCAGATTGCAAGACGACCTGATAACAGTATCCATGGTTGGCGGTGGAGAAACACCAGTGTATTAGATACTTCTTAATCGCTGTTTGGGTTGCACATATAATTTAATTGGCATCGATTCCAGATTATTGCCAACAAATAGGCTTTTTTGACTTGCTAAACATAGAAAACGAATAGACATATAAATCTAAAAAAGCCATTTTACAAGGAATCGTCATTTTCGAATTGCTTGTGATATAGAAAACAATGGCTTGATCACTAGGAATGAGAATGATGAATTAAACCGTTTTGTTCCAACTGTGTGTGATGCGTATCTACATCTTAGAAGGAACGTATTCGCCTAACTACATGATACAGTAAGATGTATTCACACAGTAAGTAATTGAATTATTATTGTTCAATACGACTGAGTTCCAATGATACAAACCCGGCTGTCGGTCTAACTGCAAATAAGACATGTAAAGTGCAGTGTATTCTTGAATCTCTTTGATTTACTCTTAGAAGTCAAATACATCCAAGTTGCCAGTCTTTTGTTTTGTACTGCGCAAAACGTTTCGTCCCTCAGGGTGCTGTTTATATTTAGTAAGAGATCATTTTATATATTTATATATTTATATATTTACTGGTGGGATGCATATATAGACCACCTCATGCTAATACTAAGTTTGACAGATTACTAACAAACATCTTTTCAATTGCTTCGCACCAACCGCATACTTTTAAAATCATCGGAGGTGATTTTAATCTGCCAAAAATTACATGGGGCTTGACTGTGGTACCAGGTCGATATAGCAAGCTAGTTGAAACATTAGAATTTGTGGATGGGTTCAACAGGTCCGAAAACCGACCAAGGGGAATAATACACTTAATTTATTGTTCACAATCAACATAGACTCTATCTCAGTGCATACCAGTCATGAGTTTTTTATGAGTGACCGTAGAGTTGTATTGAGTATTATCCACTCTTTAAACGCCATGCAATTGAACTTTAAAGCTTCATTAATGTACCGAAGCAGACATTTTGATCAACAAACATGGAAACGGACTGGAACTCTCATTCAATGTTTACCATGGGAAACTTATTTTACCACAAATAATGTTGACATTGCGCTTTCCAATCTATACCACAACCTGATATATTGCCTTGACTGCATTGCCCCAGTTATTGGCCGTGTGGCTTATAATGCTAATAGGGGTCAAAATACTTTTAAAAGAAAGCTGAGGAAATTAAAATGCCGCTACTACGAGCAGAATGATGTGTATGCACTTCAGAGTATACTTAAATTAATCTACAGAAATGCTTCATCTAAACGTAAGTATTTTCTGAATATAGAAAATAAAGCTGTACGCAGTAAAAGCCCAGAATTATCAATACTTCGGCTTTTTAAATCCCGTGTAAAGTCAAATTCCCTTGGCACGACTAAATTCTTCATAGTTAACGGAAGCATTATTAACGACCCGAATACAATATGCAAGCACTTTTCGCAGTGCTACAAAACTGGAACTGTAAACTCCATCATTACATTTCCAATGCTGACATCCAGACATCTGTCGAAAATTGATTTTACATCCTCCAACATCAAGCAGGCCATAGCTGCCCTGAAAAAGTCTTATGATGGTGGACCTGATGGGATACCTTCATCATTTGTGAAATATGGAAGTAGAGAATTTCCACTATCTTGTTTGAAACTTTTCAAACTATCTATGGAATATGGGACCTATCCATCTGTATGGAAAACATCCCTTATCACCCCTAGATTCAAAACAGGAACACGTAGTGATATTATTAACTATAGGCCAATTAATTTGACATCCGTGCTCTCAAGAAGCATAGAAAAAATCATCCACAAACAGCTATAATCATTTTTACTTTCGGCTAGTCTGATCAGCTCATTCCAACACGGGTTTATGACTAAACGCTCATGTTTCACATCGCACCTGGAGTTTTTTTATCAAATTACCCAGAGAAGAGATGTTGGTCAGTCAGTGATAATTCTTTACTTCGATTTTAGTAAGGCTTTCGACAGTGTCTCACACAAACTTCTTTTAAAACTCTCTTCATTTGGCACACAGAATCCCCTTTTATCTTGGCTCAAATCTTTTTTAGAAGAACGTAGCCAAATCGTTCGCTTTGGATCTTGCTACCCTTAACCTGTGAATGTAACCAGTGGGGTTATACAAGGAAGTGTGGTTGGTCCATAACTCTTTCTCCTTTTTATCAATGATGTGTGTTCCCTTTTTCAGTATGATAAGCCTTTCCTTTTTGCTGATGACCTGAAAGTAGTTTATTCATTCTCTTCTCCCACTAAAGAAAGCTATATTTCAGCGGCAATTCAAGAGGAAATAAACAAGTTGTACGAATGGACTGTTTCGTGGAATTTGCCTCTTAATGTTGACAAAAGTGGATTTATTCACATTGGTCGCTGCCTTAACTTAAATCTGACTGTACACACACATACACTCAAACCTCTCAACACTGTTCGTGACCTGGGTTTAAGATATAGCAACAGTCTGAACTTTTCTGAGCACATTATATCTCGAGTATCCAAAGCTAGAAAGCGGATCGGATTGATAATGCTAAACTTTAATAATATCGAATCGAGATTGTTATTATACAGAAAATGTATCTTACTCATTCTTGAATATGGTATTTTAGTTTACAGTAATTGCAGACATAATGACCTGATTAAAATTGAAGGTGTTCAAAGAAAGTTCAACAAAGCTGTTCTGGGGTATTCTGATAACAAAGACTATCACCAAAGAAGTCAACAACTCAACTTAGAACCTCTTTGGATCAGACGTATCAAATTAAATCTTGTCTTTATCTACCGGCTTAATAACGGTATTTCCTACTCTTCGGTATCCACCCCTACATACCTTATGATATTATCCCACAATCTATGCAATAATGAGAATATTCTAGCCATTCCAAGAGCCCACACAAACTTACGTCAGAATTTTTTCCTTATTCGCTACTCAACCATTTGGAACAGACTGCCAGTTAACCTCCGTTGCAGTGAAACTACAACCCGGTCCAGAAGTCTCCCTGATAATTTTCTTTTCGAAAGTGGAATATTTCACTTATTGAATATCAATGTATTCAACAATGATTTATACAAACAAGGTCCGTCATCCATTTAATTACCTGAAAAGCAAAATAAAACCTTTAAATCTTTCCACGTCCATTTTATTTTATTTCTATTTATCTTAATATATGAAGCCTGCTTATGTTCGTATCTATAATTATTACTGTTATTAATATCATTATTGTTCCCCCGACACATTAGATATTCCTTTTATATCTTTTTATCCTTCTTAACATATTTAATTCCTGACAGTCCTTTGAAATTAATTGTGACTTTTATAGCATCATTCTTAATTATTATTGCACAAATATTTATACTAATATCCGGTTTCACTCTCTATACTATTACATAAATCTAAATGTATTCATCCGAGTGCATTAAAGGATTTTTATTGTATTTTTCTCAGTTGTTGGTTTTCTTCTGAGGTTGATATTCATTACGCAATTATTATTCTTATCATGGATGAAACTTTTCACTAAGTGTTCACTTCTTTTCTCCCTCTTCTTTTCCTTCTAAATAAATATTATTTTTAAGATTTTGGAGTTTGCAATTAAGACAATAACTTGTGTTACACTTAAATTAACTTCTCAGACCCATTTTATCTTCACTATGCATATATCACTCATACATATTGATATTTCTTTATCCTTTTCACTCAATTGAGACTTTCGTCGCATCACTCCAAACTATGACTGCACAAACATTTATTCTAGCGTCACATCTTACTACAATAATAAGTTGTTTTTTCTTAATTATTTTTTGTTACTAATTTGACGATATATATGTATAGTCGTTCGTTCTTGTTTTATGTTCATAAACACGCCAATTAAACTGTTTGCGTATTTCACGTCTCCTTTATTTCTATTCCCTTATTTTCTCCATTTCCTTCTTTAAACTGAATTCAATATTTTTCTCCATTACACAGACTCGATTTATTATTATTAATATTCTACTATTATTACTCTAATTTTTTTAAATATGGCAAGTATATTGCTAACATTATCGAAAATTGTGTATTATTGCATTTTTTGAAGAAACCCGAAATGGTTTGTTCACAACACTTATGTACCCATAAGATGTTTGTGAATAATAATATTAACAATAATCCCAAGAATAAGGTAATATTCTCAACTGTCGTTTATGATACTAATTTAATAGTAATAACTTAAAGCTGAACTTTCTTGAAACATAAATCTTCAATTACCAGGAGAGTACGTGAATTTGTAACAATTTCATTTAGTTGTCTAAGAGTTGGCCAAAGATATATTTCCAATGTCGAAACATTATGGCTCAAGCACACATTTACCTTCTTATTTTGCCCAGTTTTTATATTTCCTACTATCCCATATTGAATGTTGGGGGTTTTGTTTGTTTGAAGTTGCAAGCTTGCTTCAAGATGGTTTGTTCTACAATTTTAATAAATACTTGCTGCGATCAGTAGTCCGGCTTCTTTCATAGATAAAATGAGGGCTAACTACCAGCATCATGAAGTTCCCTTCCTTTTCACTAAACGTGGTTTTGATCTCCTGCTCCTTCTGGCAAAATCACTTCAAGCTTTTCTACTACAACCCCAATCAACCAACGAAATCATCTCGCTGGTCTTTTAGTGTAATATAGAGGTCTTTGCGTGTCATAATTTATGATCCCGACCATTCGGTTCAGTTTGTGAGAGAACCCTAAGATTTTCTTAATTGAGAGTCAATGTACCAGATAACCGACAAGAGCGGAAAATATCAAATTTTATTGACCAAGATTGGTAAACATATGAGTTTCTCCATTTTTGTTTATTTTTTGCGTTCTGCCCATATGTATGCTGCCGCCTTCATCCATAACAAAGCTTGTCAGACAAAAAGGAGATGCTATTTCTTTTTATAACGACATTCCTCAATGATAATCGATATAAGAATATTCTGAGTGAATATTTTACTGAGAATTTGTTTTTTGAGCACTGAAAGTGTGAAGACGCACGTCCTCAAATTCGTTTTCGTTGTTTCGCCGATAGAAAATGATAAAACATGAGTCGAGGTGATAAGTTACCCGCAAAACAAAGGCTTTGTAGACGTTTCACACATACTCTGATTTTGCGTGTGTGACC